TCGCAGGTTTGACATAACTTCACATCTCGTTGAAGCCCAACCTTTCCCTCCCTCCAACATTCAGGTGGACCATATATATGTTTCTTGTCAATGACGCCCTCCATCCTTTCTGACGTCAATGCACTTACTGATGACGAAGATGCACCACCTGTTGTTGCTACACCAGACCCGGGGCCCACACAGTCGATCGAAGCGGTCGCCAAACGTCGGCCTGCAAAGCGCAAGCAAGTGACAATCGTGCAGCCAGTGGTGGATGGGCGTGCTTTGAGGCACAGAGTTGAAGGACCTTGTGGCTGTCGGTGCCAGTGCTTCGCCCCATTTAGAACCAGTGACACTTTTGATCAGCTGCGCAAGGTTCGAAAGGAGTTGATCGGGTTGGAGAAATTGGAGCAGGACAACTATGCCTTGTCCTTATAGTGAGTTTGAATTCGTTCGTTGACCTATGCCTGCAACAACCCTACCCATGGAATGCTGAGGTCTTCAACCTGTTGAAGGGGCATGAGGTTGCGCGTCGTGGAGCCCGTCACCTCACCCTGCTGGGACACACTGTGTGCAATCGAGGGTTCATGCGGTTGGTTGGAATCGGGAAGAGTCGCTTTCGAACCATTTCCAAAGCAATCAATGAAGGCTTAGTGAGGTGTCCGATGGACGCCAGATTCTTGCCGAAGGAACCTAAACCCCAGAGCCCGAAGAGGCAGGCTGTTTGGGACTACTTGTGGGCCCTCTATGAACAGGCTGCGGAGCGGCTTCCGGATGGAAACACACTGCATTCCAACAAGCGCCCAAGGCAAGGCGCATTCAAATATGACCATCCAAGCATGTCTCGTGATGAGGTACGCCACCTTCCACCTGGCACCTTCGCAGACTATTTGCGTCTCTGCCGGTCAGAGCTTCCCGATTACAAAATTTCCCGCCAGCTCTTTTGCTCAGCCAGAGCCTCAACATGATTTCTCAAAGGTATCGAATCACTGAAACTAGTCTCATCGGCGACCAACGCCCAGGTCTGGATGCAGGACTTCCAGCACCGTCTCCGACTCCGGCAGCAGAGTCACCACGCACGTTGTTCGATTTGCGCGAGGCACCGCCTCATCATTCGCCGCTTAGGCCGTGGCCCCGCCAGACTGGCGCAACTCGGGGAGTACAGGGCCCACCTGGCCCGTCAATAAAGTGACCGCCAAGTATATTGGAGTCACAGAGCAAAGAGCAGAACTGAGGCCATATCAGGAGGCCCTGTCACCCACATCTCCATGATTTGCGACGGCATGGACCAGGCAAAACATGCATACCCCAAAGGGGATGCCCTCAACGCCAAGGAGTTCTCGAGCTGGGCGCAACCCCGTTTACAGGCGACCACAATCATTGCTCACGGCCATGCAATCCTGGTCGGACTCAGCCCCCAAAACACTCCCGGATCAGGTTCAAGAACCATGGAACTCATCGGATACATGATGACGAAACCATTGCATTACATACATTGGGCCAATGTATTTTTACATTTGGAGGCTGACAATTGCTCCCGTGAGTTGAAGCACCAGACTGGTTTACGCATGATGTCCTCTCTCATTGCACTTCACAGGCTCCGTGGCTGTGAGTTCAGCTACTTGAGTACCGGTCACTCTCATGAAGACATTGACGCTCACTTCAGCCTCACCAGCTCCTACCTCGACCGCTTCCGAGAACTTCACACCATCAATGATTTCCAGAACACCTTGCAAACAATGTTGAATAACAAAAGTGTGAGGGTGAATGAACCAACCAGAGAGGTCATTGTGTTCGACACCTTCCATGATTGGACTTTCAAATGAATTGGCATCATCTTTGATTCTGACCCTTGAAGTTTGAAGTTCCCCCCCACTTCCTGTCACACCTCCATGCGCTTTCGCGCCTTTGCCGCCGGCAAGGAAAGGGCACTTTGCCCACTACCTCCATGGACTGCACCTCAAGGGCATAGGCGGCCCCGGTGCGCCCCATGTGTTCCGTTTGGAGCGCGTGGCTGACGCAGGAGCCCTCAAGACTTGTGATTTGAATTGGAATCTGACTCTAAATCTAAATCTTTTGTGTAATCTTTCTAAATCTAAAACCAGCTTTTGGCGAGCGGTGGCAGGACTGGATCGCAAGTGTCTAATTTCCAAATTTTGGCGACGACGACATGCGGCGGAAGGGCCCAATGACGTGGTCCTGAGGATTGAACTGGTTATTCATGGGAGAATCTGACAAAGGGTAAAGGGATGTAAAATAAGACTAGTTGTCACAGTTCATTCTGGTGGATGAATTCTGGGAGCACCAAGCGGTTCATGAGCGATGAATCGTACCAGCCCAAAGTGTTCTTGTATTTGCCCGCCTCTGAAGCTCTCCGGCTGGAGCATGCTCCGCCACCTCCAGGCTTGGCAAGACTGTCAATGGACGTGCCAAATGCTTGCTTCCCAAGCAAAGTTTGGATGGGTATTCACATCGGTTTTTACTTTTAACCAACTGTCTGACAGTCTTTGTCAATGACGCTGTGAACATCGACAGCGAGGAGAACAAGACCCTGACAAAACATGCTGCTATTCTGCGTTGCAGCCCTAGACAACCGAACTAAAATACACCAGAAACCATAATACTGGGGTTCATGGACCGGGTTCGTTCCTTCTTACTTGATAGCCTAGGCCAACCTCCCTTTGACATGGTGAAGGCAGCTGAGTGCATCGAGGATCTTGCGAACAATATCACTGGTCGGTATCCGCTGTTGGATGTTCACAGGTTCGATTCTTAGTTGGAACACTTGTTTACAGCCATTGGAACCTTTATCCAGCCCAGGGGGTTCTTTCAAACACTCGCCCAGGTGTTTTCCGAACTCTGCACCTTCGGTTGGGCCCGGCATCGAGTGGCGACCTCCAGCATCAGGACAGAACTTGGAAGCTGTTGCTCGAACGAATTTGGGTTGAAAGTGGTTGAGAGTGTCCGACGTGTTTCTTCTTTGGTACCGAGGCTCCAAATGAACTTAGACTGATTGCCGAAAGGCCTCCGCCCGCCGAGCGAAGGGGATATAGGAGGGCTGCTAGCCCTGTACAGAGCTGCGGCCCGTTTGTGGGCCAGGGGATTAGATATGGCTTCGGCTGTATCCATTGTTGAGTCGGCTATGAGAGATGCCGGTGAGCTTTGATCATCATGTCTCTTTTGCAAAGCTAAGCTTTCAAACTCCTTTTGATATGCTCACCATGTCTCTAGCCTTTTCAGGGGGGTAGTCGTTTTTGCTTGGCACGCTACTTGGTTCAGCCATGTTCAACTCCTCTTTCAATGTGTGATAGAACAACGCGATACTTGACTTAAACATGTGGACACAACTTGACCAATCACCAGTCCAAATGTGCCTGGCAAGCGCTCTGGTTGATCGATTCGATGCATTGAAATCCTCAGAAGCCAGGCTTGGAAAGCCAGGGTCTGAAGCAAGACTGATGCTTCAAGATCGAGCAACGTTGGGAAAGCAAAGTTTCAGCGGCCAGGGGTGCACTTGACACCAGACTCTTTGTACCTCTTGGTGATGTCTTAAACAGAAACTTGGTGAACCTTGAGGGATGTGATTGGTTCCTTTGTGAAGGCGTCCCATGCACAAAAGGCAAGGTGATAAAGACCACCTATTGCGTGCTTGCGGGCACTGTCATCCATCACAAATCCCCTTCTACCAATGGGAAAAGTTTGTTGCGTAGAAAGAAAAAATATTTTTCCCTTTTTGGGTTCAGTATCAAAGCTTTTGTGCTTGCTGACAGTGTCCACAAGCACAACTACCCTAGCCAAGCTTCGGGTCAGTTTTGTGAACAAAAGAGGGATTTGGGAATAGTACTCATATTTCCCTGGCTGACTGATGTTTGTGGGACTTGCCACCACCAAAAAGATAGAGGAAACAACCAGTTTGTGAAGATTCGCAGTGCTACTCGGCACAAAACCAGGTGGTGGGAGGTGCCACCCGGCACAAAACCCATGGTGGGAAGGTCTCACTCGGCACAAAACCATGTGGTTGGATGTGCTACTCGGCACAAAAACCATTGTTGGGTGGTCCGGCTCGGCGCATAATCCACCGGAGGGAACCAATGCTATTCAAAATACAATCCATTATTGGTATGCTTCACTACAGGCCGCTCGACGCACTTCAAACTTTCTGGAGCATCCCAGGTCCCAAGTTGGAACCCAAGAGGTCTAGTGGTTCATAGTCAAACCCACTGAGAGTCCCAGCCAGGTGACTGCCATTGTGGTCTTTGCCTCGATGCCGAAACGCAAGACATCGATGCCGGAACCCAAAGCGAAGGCAAAGGCGAAAGCTTCACCGTCCCTTCCTGCGATTCCACCAGATTCGGCCAAACTTCCTCATATGAAATTGTTGAATGAATGGTTGACTTTCAGCTAAATTGGAACATGTGAAATTCAGTCTTTGGTTCGTTGTTTGTTCATTGTGGATCGAAACATATCGAAACCCAATGCATCAAAACCGAGGGATGAAGTGCTTCGGGAACATGGTGCCCTGGACCTCTATTTGAACAAGATGCTGGACACCAAGGACAGCCGCCAAGTGGTCGTCACTGAAAACTGCGCAAATTGTGCGCGCAGCCAGGAGAAATGCATTGAGTTCTACAACTTCATCGAGGAAAAATATCCACCAGTACCGGGTGTGTCACTGACCCAGGGAATCTCGTTCCTGTGGTTGTTGACAAGATTTTGACAGCTTCAGCTTTTGAGGTCGTACGCAACAGAGGACTCGTTCGATTCACCTGGCGGTCACCATTTACGGCCTTGGATGTTGCCGCACCATCCAGACTACGGTCTGAGAGGGACATGCGATGTTGAACATTGCTTTGTATTGAGTATGTTTTTTGTTTTTTCAAACCGCTCCTGCAAATTTGTCGAGCCCGACACTGACTTCCCTTTTCCCTGTGGTTCGTGCCTCCGTCTTCGACCAGGATGTCCAAAGATGCCTCGTCCAACTCATTGGCCTGAACGGGTTCTTGACAAATCCGGACTTGCCCGGAACGGAGAAGCTAGTGATTTGCACGGTGGATGAGAAGTGGCTCTCTGTCCGCAGGGTGTGGGTATCTGCTGCTGAGCTAGCTTTAGCTTCGGGGGAGAAGCTGATTTCTCCTCAGAGTGTTTTCACCGTCAAGGGGTTCAATCGCTCGGTATGCGCACTCTTGGTCCTTCTGGCAACGATGGAGATGCCCGCGCTCATGGAGGCCGGCGGGGAGGGAACGTCAAAAGGAATCACCGAATTCTGTGAGCTGTGGTGTGGATCAATCTTCACAACCTGCAAGCGAGGTCATGCCTAAAGAAGTGATCGAGTACTGACCTTAGCACTGTAACAACCGAGAACCCTTCATCATAAAATTCATTTCGTGGAACCTTGCAACCAGGTCTTTGAGTCTCGTCTACTGCACCAAGCAGAATGCAGAGCTGGCAAGTATAATCTCAACCCACCGAGGTGCTCCAAGTGCTTCATTGTTACACCTACTAGTCAACATTAAGCATTTCACCTAGTCAACATTAAACGGAAGATGCAAATTAACGTCCAAGAGTATGTCATTCGTTGCCGATGGATCGCTTCAGGCGTGACCCTCACCAGCGTCATTCGCAGGCGCCCAAACTGTTTCAATTTGCTCCATCAAATGGAGATTCTCATGCGCGATGGGTGCACTACAGAATCCGCTGTGGAGGGACTTGAGGTGGGGAATTCTCACGAAGAAAAGCTGAAATGGCACCAGCGGGAACCATCAGGTCGCCCCCCATCCCTTTCGCGTTGGCAGGCCTTGGACTCGGCATCATCTGTGGCGGCTGCCTACTCGGTTGGTCGCACCGAGGCCAGTGCGGCCACCAACTTGCTGAAATCGGTCAGCGCTTCGACCCGAAACCAGCTGAAGGAGTTGGTGAGGCGATGCCCAACAATATCAATCATTCGAAAACATGTCAATCTTGAGATGTCCGACAATATCAGATATCAATTCAATATCGTTCAATATATATATATATACAATATATTCAATATATATCAATATATAAATCAATTCGTGGTCAGGATTCATGGGCAACCACGCTTTATCCTACACGATGGGATTGCAGCTGGCATTTTCAATGTGGACTACAGTGGGGTGGCTGGGTCTCTGGGTGCCTGGGAAAAGCATTTGGGGAACACCCAGGAGACCATTGACCTCATGCTGCGCCGCATGCGAAGTGATTTTGAGTCGCTGGCACCAAAGATGCGAAAGCCCTGGTCGCAGCAACAGCTAGACTCCTTTCAAACATCATGAACTTTTTTCATTTGCCAATGAAGGCTTGGGGGCGAAGATTTCACCCTGGACCCTTCCAACGTCGCTTTTCCGCACCTTGCGCAGGAACAGCTTCAGCGTACTTGCAGCATCTTCCTGGCGTGTTTGGCCATGTTTGGGGCGTCTGTGCCCACTGGGTACATGGCAGAAGTGAAGGATGAGATCATGTCAACGCTTCTCGTCTAGATAGTGAATGACCATCGTTCTCAGTGGAAGAAACTGGAAGAAACAGTTGAAGACACAACGCGAGTGAATCGAAGTGACCGAGCTGCTAAAAACCGATGCGAGGTTTGTGAATCGTCACGCAGATGCCGATTTGATGAACCTTGTTCAGACTTCGGCTCCACCATGTGATTTGTCCAAGATCGACTTGCTCAAAAACCACTTGGGTAAGTTCCAAAAGAAGGCTGGGTAAACACAACCTCTGCCACACTAACTTGACAGACTTCTTGGTCCAATCCTGTCTCCCCATTGCCCTTTGCTGCCTCCAACGTGGTGCAGGTCGATGATGAGAGCGTGAAGAAGGCTGCCGAGCCGCTCGTCGAATCAATCCAAAAAGATTTCACCCTGGACCCTTAAGAACCGCTCCAAAAAACATGCATCAAACCAACACAGAGTTGCAAATGCACACAGTCTTGCTAAAACAATCCAATCTGTGTTAGTATGTGATACATGACAATGTGTTATGATTATGCTTTGATGTAGGGTGTACTTTCAACATGTTTCCATGAGGCTGGAGGCCGCATTGCTACAAACGACATGGTCTCAAACAGAGCTGACCATCCAGAGTGACATCAACGCGTTGCGGGGTTGGGCGGACAAATTCAAACTGTTCGCGAACCAGCAGGCGCTTCTTCTTTCAAGTTCGTTTTAAAGAGTTGATCAACCGAGAAATCCGTAGTTTGTCAGCCAGTTTGTCATGTTGTCAGGGTGGGCTCGATCTGCAGTACCTTGCCAGTCGCTATGAGAATGGTAAGAAGGCGGTTGCAGACTACATGGCCCGTCGCCACACCTTTGGCGCCTTCAAGAACCTGATGCTGTCGCAGGGTGAGATCGTGTCGAAGCAAGCTGCGCTGGGAAAATCGGCGCTTCTCAGCTAAATGGTTTGCGCTTAAGTTTCGGGTGTCAAAATCATGAGCGCGTTCTCATTCACTGGCCAGCTCAGGCTGACCATCATTGTCATTGACTGCACTCTTTGGCCTTCACGCTCTTTGGCTTTAACCTTCACTCTTAACTCTTTAGCCTTAACTTTTTGGCATCAACCTTGAGTCGCATTGATATCAACAAGAAACAAAATGGTGTTTTGTATCCCTCTCCGGTGTTTTGCTCAGGCGCATTGTCGGTGGACGAGGCTTTCACGCTGGCCCAGGCTGTGTGCGGAGGAAACGCTGGAACCATGGCATTTGTGTTGATGCCACAACCTCACTCCAGCTGCTCTCACACAGCGATTTTGGCACACAGAAGGATCTTGGAGGACAAGGCCGTGGCGACGCTTGATGGCATCACATTCTCATGTGCGTGCTTGTGCGTGTGTGTGTGTGTGTGCGCGCTCTTGTTTTCTGTGTGTCTGTGCGCTCGTGTCTTTTTCTGTGACCTAAGGGGGTTCGACGTGAATGAAGTGTCCCTCAATTTCAGCGACAATGTTCATGGCAACGACCGGCGGAAGACCAGTCAGCAATGCTACTGGGTGAAACATTATGCAACTTCTTTTCGACCTGCAACGGACGCAAGCGAAGTTCTATGTGTGGCAATCTAAGGCCTTGCTCTCACTTCTGGTGCGCACCGGGAATTCGCAAGGGCGAAGTGCGTTCTCGGAACAATAAAGGACATACAAAGATCGAGAGTTTCGGAGTTGCAGAACCCAGAAGAAGACAAGCCTCTAGCGCCACACTGGCGTGTTCCTAGGCTAAGGGTGCAATGCGTACTTTTGTTGTGCTAGGTGGTGCGTCCTCTACCGAAATAAACCGATAGCTTGAATGGCGGTGCTTCTGTAAGGTGCAGCAGCGGGGTGTCGATGCTACTGGTGAAGTGGTGAACAAGCTCTTGGAAGGTTTGTCGCTGCAGGATTCCCAACCAGTCCTGATCGTAGACTGTTTGCCGAACAGGTTCCTTGATCGACTTGTTGAAATTGTTATATATTATTATTATCAACGCTGAAAAGCTATGACATCGTTTGAAACATAAAAACATATACGCCCATACAAAAAACACCTGCTCTTCACCCAGCGCCCACAACCGGCCTAGGTTTTCGGAATGGTCCATTGCCTGCTGCAAGAAGCAGCTGTCAGTGCTGGTTGATGGACACCCGGGACCATCATTCCACTACATGGGGTTGTTTCTGGAGGACGACGCAAAGGTCATGACCAAGAACAGTTCAAACATAGCTGGGATGCTCATGACACAGTGGTGGGATGAGTCAGGGGAGGCAGGACCCAAGAGGCGACCCCGCGCCAAGTTTGAAGAGGCCTCGCCAAGCCTGCAGACACTTACAATTGCAAATGGGGCCTGCAAGATACTCGACTTCATTAGCGCCCAATGAACTTTGAAGAAAGTGTTTCTCCATCATGCTAAACCGGGGTCGGTGCATATTTTTTCCCTTTTCCCTTGGGTTGCATCAGCTTCTGCTTAGGATTCCGGACATGATCAAGAACAAGTACCTAGCCAGCCATGCCCCCCAACTCAAAGCTGTGGAGGAGGAGCTTGCTAAAGACCGGAACATCGCAGCGGCTTTGAAAGGTTTTGGTGGGGAGCTTCCTGGTCCCGAGCCTGCCCCATCTCCTACCGGGTCTACCGTTCCCACACCTGCCCCAGCCCGGACAGTGGCAACCCCTGACTATGAAGGCTGCGCAGTCCCCAGCTTTGACAAAAGGGTTGACGTGAGCCCCAAGCCCATGGAAGAGTTCACGACTGGCCGAACGTTCTTTAGTTTAAGATCAATTTTCTCCTGTGAACCTTTTGCGCTTCATTTTCCAACTCCACACCAAATAAGCATCTACCATGATTGCTTCTCAGGTTGCATTGCAAAGCTGCTTTGCAGAACTCGCAAATGCATGTGGGCAAGGATCGCAACGATGAGAGCTCCTGGATCATCAACGAGACCGGTGAGAATGAGTCGATCTCAGCCCGTGAGCTTTTTGGGTTCAATGTTGGCTCATTCAATGAGTTGACAACAGGATTTGACGGGGTGATTGAAAGTAACCAACCATTGTCGCTAGATTCGCTCGGCCCACATGTGCTTTAAGTGACCTTCAATCGCTGTCCCCTGCGCTCGCAACCCCGCTTCCTGGTAGGAGATGCCAGCACCGTCGTCGACCAGGTCCCATGGCTCATCACATCGGACCTTGACGTGGTGGTCTTGGTGACCGGCGCTGGTGGTGCTGTGGAGAAAACGGTTATGACCGTGGCAGACGTTCTCTGCAACGTAACCAACACCCGTGGTGTTACTGAAGTTACCATGGTGGATCACGATTTGGAACCAATGGTCAAGGATCATTGTGGTGTTGT